TGTAAATTGCTTATGAAACTGATCATGAATCCGCATAATATTTATAAATCATTTATAAATCATTTATAAATCATTACTTATATCACTTAATTTTAATATTCACAACACCCCCATCAAAAATTTTAGCTCATACGAAAAAGTAACAGACAGAAATAAATTCATGTCATAAGAGTTTGTCAGATACTAATAATTATTAAAAGAATTAAAAGAGTTAAAATAACTAAAAAAATTGATCAACATCGGGATTACATTATATGGGTGATAAGAATTGTAGTGGCATTTCGAAGAGCAGTATGGTACATATTAGTGACCAAATTTGTATGGTATTAGAGGTGTGAAACACTAGATTTAAATTCGTAATTTATTGATACGACATTATATATTATTATAACAGATTAACATGGCATGATTTTTGTACTGTGCACCCATACCATCGATTCCGATCATCCATATGATGTAATCCCAAACCATACATAATACTAACTCCTAATGTGCTAGTATCTATTCTAAATCAATACTATTCTAAAACAATACTATATTAATTTGTTACAAACCCTAATATAAAATACCGGATCAGTATAGTACCTTCGTACGGGTTTCTATCATTTCCCGATAAACAAAATCCTGACAACAATTGACCGGAACTAACACTAACCTAATGCAGGCTAACTTGTCGGAAAAGTGAATGTCGGAAAATGATTTTCGGGAAAATGATAGGATCCGCCTACATATCTAGTTGCATAAAAAAAGGACAAAAAAAGAGTTATAAGCATTAAATATTAATACACTTGTCTCGCATACTTTGTGAAGAACCCAAATTCATATCCCAAGTTTATTTAAAATGCCAGAAGAAAGGATTATTTAAATATTGGAGGCATTAAGGTATAAAGCACAATAATAAATTTTATTTTTTTTTTTACTTACATATTTTACTTTTAATATATAGTATGAAACTTTTAGATCAACACTCACCAATCATCCAGAGACATTACTTGGATCAATATTTCATGCACGGAATGATGACATTAAAAATTCAGTTAATGGAAATGAATATTTTTTTAATCGTAATGGCAAAGCATTTTATTATATAATGGAATTCTATCGAACTGGAAAATTTTTATGGCCTACTGAAACTAAAACATCACAACTTACTTATCAACAGCTTAAAGAAGAACTCGATTATTTTCGAATCAATAAATCGAAAGCACTTTCTTCAATGGCATCGGAAACTGTTAGAAGTACAATTGAAGGATTTATCTCATGCCTTGAACAATTAATTATTGATCATTATTTAACTTTGATAATATGATTTCTTTAGTAATTCGTAATAATGATGAATCAGATGGTCGTCTTGGCGCATTTAAAGATTGTGCTTTTGATATCCTGAGTAATATTGGAGAACAGATTGGAAAACGTTTAGTTGAAACTTTTTCTGAATTAGATCTAAAATATAATTATCATAGATTCAGTAATTCATTAATTGACATAGAGTTAATTTTTTCTTCTCCGATTGAAAAACTGCTAAAATCTGATAGTGATCAAGCCCACATTACATTTACCCAAGTTCCAATCAAAACATCGGAAGAAAAAATTATTCTAAATGTTGGTGGCAAAAAGGTATATAAAGTAAAATAATTTTTTTAGATAACTTTAAGAATGTAGTATTTGTATATGCGTATATAATGTGTATATGTATATGTTTTATTATCTAGTATGAAACCTTTAAATCAGTTCTTATGGCACAACCAGAAACTTTACTTGGTGCGATGTTTCAAGATCGAAATACGTGTATGAGACATCCAATTAATGGAAATGAATATTTTTTTGATCGTAATAGTGAAGCATTTTATTATATAATGGAATTTTATCGAACTGGAAAGCTAACATGGCCCACTGAAACAGGACAAGTTACTCGTAGACATCTTGAAGAAGAACTTGATTATTTCCAAATTCCTTTTAATAAGTCGACAGTATCTGGTTCATTGGCCTTAGACACTGTTAAGCAAATGCTTAATGACCTTATTTTGACCTTTGAAGAATTGGTCATTCTTTGTTGTAATTATCTTAGAAATAATATTCAGTTAGAAATTAGTCGTGATAATGTTCATATAATTGATAAGAGACATTATGATTATTTAGGAGATTTACGTAAATTTTGTTTACCTAAATTTACGGGCTCTTATTATTCTACTTTGGTTAATATGGAAAAACATATTGGAAAGCATTTAGTTAAAACATTTTCTGATTTAAAGTTAACATGGCGGTTCAGTCGAGCTCATGATCATTTGCAAATGAATATTTATATTTCATTATCATTTAATAATGTTTACAAAATTTTAAATGAAGATAGATAAAATAAATAGATATACATTTATACATTTATGCATTTACGTGTAGTTTTATTACCAATATCAAAATTGCGTAAATTAATATACAAAGATTCATTTGAAACTAAACTAATATTTAAATAATATATAGTTATTGGATGCGAAGCAGCCAATAACGGAAATTATTTGTAAAATAATTTCATTATCTGGCTG